TTCCTCTTTCTCTCGTTCTCTCTTTCTCCTTTGCCACCTCCGTCACCTCTGAAATCGCTGCGGCGGCGTGGAAACCGCAGTCTCGCTGTGGCTGCGACGACCCCCGTGTAGGACGTGTATCGGGCCTCTCGCTTCGTGCCCGCCGGCATAATTCAATTTTCGTCACGGTGGATGCCGCCGGTTCGTCTCGCCGCTATTCCGTCGTTCTTTCGTCTTCGAGTGCATCGACTCGCGGCGCGGAGTCTAGTCCTGCGGCCTAGCCCGGCCGCGAGGGGAAACGACGCGAGATCCGTGGAGATCGTTGCTCCTTGAGAGTGAGCGGCTCAGCGGACGGGCTACACCGAGGACTCTCGAGAGAAAATTTCATTCCAAGTACTATCGACGTCCCGGCCTTTTTCAGAGAGGCGAGTTCTGCAGGCGCGCACGTTGCATACATCCATCTGCGCGGCATACCTGTTGTACTCGGGCCGCGAATAAAAGAGAGCGAAATCGATAGTCTTGAAACTTAGTAGCGCGGAAACCTATTGACCTTTATAAGCTTTACTTCCAAGCTTTATTATTGTTGGAAAATCGTCCCGACAATAAAATCAAAACTTCATTAAGCGATCCGCGTTTTACAATTTTACAGTTGTCGATTTTGCGCTGGGAATTTGGGAATGCGAAAATAAATGTATAACGGAATAAAAATATTTTATTTACAAGTATAAGAAAAGAGTGGAATGAACCCTTTAGAGTTATTCTTGAGAAATTCAACGATAAATCAAGAAAACATTAAAGGTAAAATTTTTTAATGTCAACTATGAGCAAACCCATTAAGCGTATTTAAATATTTATGTTACATCTTCATGTAAATTACTGAGTTTTTATAAATTTATATAAATATATATATAGATTCATAAAAAAGTTCATAAAAGTTTCAGCTTTTTAAATAATCGTTAAAATTTTTCCGGATTTATTTATATTTGATAACGTATGACGCTGTTCACATTTCGTGTTTGATATCTATGAATAAGTTTTTTTCATTAAAACTGGCCGTATTTAATCTAAAAAAAATTACGCGGTCAATTGAAGAGGTACGAAAGCATTCGCAAGTAATAAAACATTCATCTGTATTTGTACTTGGCTAAGAAAATACCAGGTCACGAAAATCTTTCTGGAAATGGAAAGTTGCGGAAAGTAGAAAACTCGCTTCGTCGTGCAATTTCTTAAGATTTAATTTCGAAATCGCTTATGCATTCAACTGTTTATTATAATTGAAAGAATTGCGTATGAAAAATTTGAAAAAAAAAGACAATGAAAAATCTAATTCAATTTCGCCATTATTTGTTTCGGCAACTTTCGTGTTTGCATAATAAACAGAAGCGCTTTCGTATACGATATAGTGAAAACTTCGCAAATTTCTCGCCACGTTTCTCTTCTGCATATACGCGCGGACGAAGAAGATAAAAATCCATTTCCTCCCTGGTTCATGTATCCATCCGGGTTCGTCGCTGAAAAATACGCCGTTCACTTTATCGCCGAGCGTAACGCAAACACATTTTTCCGAATTGCATACGCATAAATTTACCTGCGCGGGTCAACGAGTTAACGTTCTCTGTTCGAAGATGCATTTACGCTCTAAATTCGGATACTGCCACGGTAGTGGACACACACATACACATGTACGCATCTGCACACACGAACACGCACGCACTCACACATGTATATATATTTTAAACCAAGCGTGGGAATCTCATTGCTGGCACTTGCAGGATCGCCGGCTGCCCGCATTATGCACGGGTGCAAGCGCGTGCACACACATTGATGCGGCCCGTGCACGCGGACGGAATACGCATACAGAGATCAAGAGCAACTCAACCTCGGCTTGTTTGCCGTTAATACACGAAAGCGACGTTACCGGCGTGTGTCAGTATGCATGCCTCCGGGAAATGTTCATTTACAGGAAACTTTTCATCCGATACTCGCCGCTGGTTTATAATTTTAAGCTTTGTTTACCTTCGAGATTTATTTACAGAAATCACGCGTTCCAGAAAGCACGTATATGTGTATGATACGTATAATATTATATCGAAATTTTGAAAAAAAAAAATCGATACAAAAAAACCCTGTAAATCGCGAGTGTGGTTTATCAACGTATCTCGAAGCCGTAATTTCGACTATTTGCAACTGCCAATATAAAATATTCAGTTGCGATCTTTTTTTTCCTCAAATTTTTGATTCCGATCCAAGCGGAAAGTAGATAATGCTGACACTGATAGCTGTTCTATAAAAGCTGTATGAAATTAATATGGAAATAATTGCTTCGCGACATTTTGTCTGCAGCTGCATTTAAATCGAAATTGCATCCACGCGCGAATTGAAACGTAAAATATTCACTTCCGTTGTTTCGCGTTTCTGCTATCGGAGATGGGCTCGCGAGCGGCGCCAGGATCGATAAGGGTGACTATAATTTAATTATCACTAATCGTGTCGCGGTGCAGCAAGCTGCATTAAAAGTAATGCCTAAGCCGGCGTAAATGATCGCCGGGCTAAAATTTCATTAGGAGCGATACGAAGCGCAGTCCCCGAGCTTATTTCACGATATCTCGGAATATGTATATATATATATATATATATATATATATATATACATATATATATACACCCACCCATATACACATTGGGGCGACTAATCTACGCGGATAAAATTAGATGCGCCCGCGACGGCGAGCCACGTGGGACGCGAAGTCGTCGACGCAGGTTAACAAATTGGCGACACATGGGAAATCTTAGGTGTCTTTACTTCTTCAGCAGTGCACTTACGGATGCACGCTCCTCTTTCTTTCCGCGTCGGAAATGTATAGAATTTTCCACGTGCCGCGCGGCAACGTTATTTCCATTTTCTCTAGGCTCGCAATCAATTCAAAATTCAAATACTCGTATCTGCAGTATATATGTTTTTTTTGCGCATGTAATTGCTATTAAATAATTAAACTTGACCCACTGTAGGAATGAAAGATTTATACATAACGTGCAGAATTGTTGCGCAATTGTTTTGATCACCCATATACGGATTGCGAAGCAGAAATAGATTATTGAAGATAATGATATTGCAATAACGTGTGTAGCGATTGATATTATTCGACACTAGCCATTTGAATCGTTCACAACAGTCCGCAAAATAGGACCTTTGTGGTAACAATCGTGGTTTATTGTAACAATTTCCTAAACAAGGTTGTACTATTAACGCTCGTGTAACAGATTCGGGGGAAAAAAAAGGATTCCAGATGAAAACGCGGAAAGCCATTCTTCTCTGGTTGAATGATTGTTCAGAGAAATGTATACGATTGATTTTCGTCAATATTTTTTAATTGCGATTTGTAGCACCGCAACCGCTTCGATCGAGATCGAATGGATTGAATGGATCGATTGGGGAAAAGAAAGCGGAGGAGTTGCTCTCTCTATCAACGTGAACCCGGTAAATCGATAATTGTTGCACCGTGTAGGATCACGCGTGCTGCACGTGTATCATGCGCCGCAAAACGATTAACGGCAGCTTTTTTTTGTTAATTGGATACATTTTTGCGGAATTCAATGGGAAACGTTTCCGTCGAGTGGAACACGAGAGCGCGCCGCGAGAATAAACGGCTTCGAATTGTCGCAATCTTTATTTTCGAAGTCGAATAAAATTCTTGTAAATTTGTTTTAATCGATACTGAGCTTGCTTTTAATATAATATAATTCATCCACAATTTATCCTCTAATATACATTAATATTAATTTATATTTCTAGAAAAATACAATTGCGAGTACACATATCAATTCTATGTCAATAATTTGAGTTATTAGATCCTCAAATGTAATCAGTTATAAAACGGATATATAGATTTATAAAATGTTGATATAGAATAGAAATCAATTCGCGTCATTAATAATAATCAACAGATTTTAATTCTTATATCTCTTCACTTTTCTCCTATATTTCATATAGTAGAAGAAAGTAAAGCAAAACTTTAGTATCCAGGTACATTTTAATCTTGCAATTTTTCTTTCTTTCAGTAAATGAGAAAGAATCAAGACTCAGAAGTAATTTTTAAATTCTTAGGAACATTAAAAATTATTATAAAACTTGAGAGTAATTTTTAAGTCTTGAGACTAACCGTTGAATTAAAAAGCATGGCGATGTTAATGATTCAGCAGGTAAAACTTATTTCACTTGATGCACGCGCTAGGCAGTAATTCACGGGACAGCTTAATAGTGAAAATATAAATCGCCCGTATTAAAGCTGAACTCGCATTCGGCCATCGGACGGCGCATCTCGCTTGTGAAAAACGAGCAATACCGCGTCGGACGGTGACTTTTCGGTGAGACTGACAAGAGATATTCAGCGCACCTCCCGAAAAAACAGTCGTGCATACTAAATGGACGGAGAAACTCTTCCGAGTTCCGTCCACTCCGTGTGTCGGCAATTCGCTGTTAGTTGGACGCGCGCGCGAGGCGATGGAGAAATTAGCTTGCGCGTTACTCTCGTCAGAGAAGCACGCGCGCGCGCGAGATTTAATATTTAGTCGTCGGAATCTCTCACGCGGGAGCTTCACGCACAACACGATATAAACGTCATGCGGTCACGCAATTACGTGACACTGATTTACGCGGACGCGTTTACGACCGCGGAGATCCACGAAGCGGGATTAAGTGCGCCGCGCGAGTTAGCTTCTGAAAAAAAATTATCTTTACGCGACGAAACCTGATCCTTCGAGATGATATGCGAACGACGATCGACGCAACAACGAGCAATTTCATCTCGTCAGCCGTACATCTGGTATGGCTAATAAAATGAATTGAGAGCTCTGGGAGATTTCGAAAGTCGTGTACTTCGTGCGTCATTCCAATTCCGTTGAGCGCGGTATTTTATAATTTCATTTAAATTCATGACAAAATTTAATTTAATATGAATCGATCGGCCCCTGACGAGAATACCATCGTTATTTCTTCAGATATAATTTTTAGTACTACTTACTCTTTGAGGAACGCCCATCCTCGCGCGACCATGCCTGGGGGAGCCTTGCGCCTGGCCTTGTTTCTCTTTTCTGTGCGTCTTCAGTCCTCGCAGCAACCTCGAAAACGTCGTCTTCTTCTTGCTCGTGTTTTGTCCTTGCTCTGCAACAACATGAAATAAATTATTAAAGAGAAGATTTAACGTAATAATGGAATATTATATGGATTTAATGCATAATACGATATGTGCTGGTGGAGGCAAATATTTTCTCGATTATCACGTACAATAATTATTCATTGATTTCTATTTATATATTTATTTATTTCGGCCCCTCGTTTGATTTCGCGTATATTAAAATGAATAATTATCTTTTTGCGATTTAAATCAACCGATTTTAACGATACGTTTTAAAACCGTATTGTTCATTCGATCAAAATTGTAGAGTGTGACTGATCAAGAATGGACAATCGTATGCGCAAATGAAAATTTATATTTCGATTATTTTGCATTCCAATTCTTGAACAAACAGAATCGACGATATTACATTCGGCACGGTGGCGAAGAGAAAAAAGATTTAGTTGAATATTACAGTACCGGAATATCAGAGGCACATTTATATCAGAATAAAATTTTTAATTGTTTTCGGGATTTTTTGCGAATGTTCTTATTTTGTGGATTTTGCACGGATTAAGAGAATGAAATGACACGTATGAAATCGAGTCGAAATAAATTGGAAGAAAGCGACCTTCCTTGACCCAGATATTTGGAGTAATATGATTATTTTATGGAAGCGATTACTTGTGCATCCGTTCCTCTTCGATTTTCTCCGCAGTGACAGATTTCTCAATCTGTCAATTTCATGAATCTATTTTCGTACCGTTTGTAAGTGCATTTCCTTTTTTTGGGAGGTATCGATTGATCTCCCAGTGCAAGAATCACAAATAGCAAATACGAATAAAATACGAACGTTTCGATTAAATTTTCTATATCGAATAGTGAACGTGAGCCTAATTCGCTTTTCCCCATCAATAATATTTCCGCTCTCTGAATAGACCTGTACAATTCGTTTATTGATGAGACGCGGCTTAAAATCAATATGGACGAAGTTCCATAAATACATCACGCTTTTATATATCATCGAATTCTTTCGAAACGAATGTCGCAGTTTAACTAGCCACCGTTCGCTTTTTACCATTGTTTAACAGCGGTGGCCAACATTCACAACGGATTAAATTCGGACCAGGGCGACCTTCAGTTGCCATTTAATGGCCGATGCGTGAAGGCCTTTTCCGAAATTTCCCAATTTGAGTAGCCCTACGCCACGAACTATACTACCAATCTCGCAAATAATCGAATAAATCTGGGTTGCCCACAACATCGCCATTCATTAACGGATAATTCAGGTGTGCCTATTAGTTATCCGGTCGCCCCCTCACTACGTCGATATATTGTATTAGTGTCAACGCATCCGTTTATTAGCACTGTCATAGCGCCGCCTAATTAGCAACCTTTACGACGCGGACGATAGCTGAAACGAATTATCGAGCTTTCAACTGAACCGAACCAGTCATCATTGAAGTATCGAAAATTAACTATTTCGCGTTGTAAATAGAACAGATATTAACTAAAATTGGCTATTTTCGCTTTCCATTTCCTTGTATTTCGTTAACATAAAAATAGAAGTGTTTTTTAATGACACACATTAAATTATGTATGTTCGTTAAAATCATAACATACATATAGAAATCAATCCCCCAGTGAGATACTCCATCCATTTTGTTTTTATTACTAATTAAATGTTTCGTTTAAAATGAGAAGAACTTTCAACCTAAATGATAATCGCTTTAAATCATTACTTTTATCGTTCTACAGAAGTCCTCTAACGTATCGCTATTTTCCCCCTTTTTTCATTCTTTTTCTGCTAAAAAAAAAAAGGAAAACATTTAATAAATTTTATGCTTGCGTTATTCGGGTAAACCTCTCATTTAAATTAAAGGTAAACGGTATGCGCATATTTGCGAAAACATTTCGCGGGGAAACCAATAAAAGGTATTAATGTCGTTGAGATCGTTACCGAGCACCTAGTTATGTCGTGGCACGCGTAATTACAACAGTGTCGTTAGCCGTACAACGTACCGATAGCGATAGTATTACAGAATGGAGTTAATGCGCGGGCGGCAAACTGAATTTTGCCTCGGCACCGGGCGACAAAGTGTTTACCGGATGGTTACTATTGGTTACGACATCCGAGTCGACATAACCAGCGATATCGTGATTTAATCAAGGACCATCGTAAAGCAATAATTAATGCCGCGCTGTATCGATTTCGGGGACGAAGCGACGCGTTAGGACAGTGTAACGTGTTAATTAGGAGGCGGCGGCGGGGGACAGGAGAGGCGGCGGCCCCATTATGCATGCACGTATTTACGTAGAAAATTATTCGCGCGAGGAGGGAAACGAATTAACGTTGCCGCGCAATTATTACGGCCCGCATTTTGCAGCGTAGCGCGTCCGCTGTTTCCGCAATAATGGCATCGCGTCGTCGCGGCTCTGTGCACGCGGTGTGTGACACAAACATTAAACGAGACTTTAACTTCTTTAAAAATTGGCCCTTCGCAGCTGCCGCCGCTGGACTTATTAAGTCAGATCATTTTCGAGCGGGTTGCGGGCTATATTTTATTGCGTTCACGCATCCCTTCAGGATGTTAAGCCTGACACTCGATTACGATAGATTCGTATATGATAACACTTTGATAACACTATTGCTATTAATATTTAACGTAATAATAAGAGTGTGAGATAAAGTAATGAGTAATGTCAAATTCACCAATTTTTACAGATCGAGTTTACTTTCAACGGACTGAGAAATCAATCGCCCTCACGAAAATTGATTCGCTCCTTTACGGCCGCAATTAAGGACGAATTACAAGGATCTTCCACTGCACTCCAGTGCATCTTCGCATGCGGCTTAACGGACCACCATACGGCTGCAGCGTCCAGACGATCCCTTATCAAAGGGGTTTCCAAGAGAGCCGCAGGAAATACCGGGGGCTAATTTCCGAAATCGAACCAGCTGTAACGACCGCGCATCCCGGTTCCCTTACCCCGGCGCCGCGAGAAGGCGGGCGGGTACATCCATGAATTCCCCGGAAGCCACTATTATTCTAGAGAGGATCGTACGTATTTTACCCGCCCGGTCGGCAGGCGGCGCGGCGCGGTGGCGCGCGGGGGTGGACGAGCGATATGGGCAAAGAATACAAGAGACTCGCGGGACCACGGGAGTTGGAATGTCGTCCCGTAATATCGGAAATATATCGCTCGGGCTGTAACCACAAGTCATGTTCAATCGAATGAATCGTATGGAATAAAAATAAACCTGCCTACACCGCGGAGACGGCGGGAAGGTCCAATACCTCTCTCCGGCGAAGGCCGGGTGGCGCGGGTTACGCGCGGGCGAAACGGGGGCGCGGACGTGGTGGAGGAAGAAATTCGAGGAAGAGGAAGACACCGAGGAGAGAGACAAGACCCGGCCCGGCTTGCCGAAGGGTATAGGCGGCCCGAGAGCCGAGAGGAGGGAACGAGCGTGAGGGACGACTCAAGGGGGAGGGGGGGGG